CTCGGAAACCCAAGGAGGGGTCGCTATGAGTCGGGGCCGACTCGACGGCAAATAACAACAACAACAATAGTATACAACCATTACCATTGTCTATTTTCAAAAGTTTTTTATCACCCCAAACACAACTCTGTAACCATTCCCCTCTCCCCAGCCCCTGGTTGTTGTTGTTAGGTGCCATTGAGTTGGTTCTAACAGCAACCATATGTATAACAGAATGAAACATTGCCAGGCCCTGCACAATCCTCATATTTCATTGCTATGTTTGAGCTTATTGCTGTAGCCACTGTGTCAGTCCATATTGTTGAGGGTCTTCCTCTTTTTCGCTGACCCTCTGCTTTACCAAGTATCATATCCTCCAGGGAGATCCTTCCTAATAACATGTCCAAAGTACATGAGACAAAGTCTCACCTTTCTCCTGTCTATGGGACATTCTGGTTATACTTCTTCCAAGGCAGAATTGTTCCTTCTGACAGTCCATGGTATATTCAGTATTTTTCACCAGCACCATAATTCAATGTCAATTTTTTTTGTCTTTTTATTCATTATGCAATTTTGCATGGAAATGAGACACAATTGAAAATACTATGGCCTGGGTCAGGCACACCTTAGTCTTCAAAGTAACATCTTTGCTTTTGAACACTTTAAAGAGGTCCCTTTACAGTGGGTTGGTCCTACCCAGTACATTGTTTGACTTCTTGACTGATCGAAGGAAAATGATAACAGCCCCTGGTAACCCCTAAAAAACTCTTAGCTCTATGCGTTTTTCTATTCTAGATACTTCATATAAGTAAGATGATATAATATTTGCCTTTTGTTATCTGAATTATTTCACTTAGTTATTTCACTCAATAAGGTTCATGCATGTCATAGCATATAATAGCACTTCATTTTTCTCTATGGGTGAATAATATTCTGTTGTATGTATATAATACATTTTTTTTACTTATTTATCTGTTGAACAGATAGGGTGCTTCAACCTTTTGACTGTTGTAAATAACATTGTCGTAAACATTGGCATATAAATACATATTTGAGTCTCTGCTTTCAAGTCTTTTGGATATATACCAAAAAAACACAAAGACCAAACTCACTGCCATTGAGTCAATTCCAACTCATAGCAACCCCCATTGGGTTTCCGAGGTGGTAAATTTTTATGGAAGTAGATTGCCCAGTCTTCCTTCCATGGAGTGGCTGGTGAGTTTGAACCTCCAGCCTTTTGGTTAGCAGTGAAATACTTTAGGTTCTACACTATCAGAGCTCCTTAAGAAGTAGATACATATCAAGTGGAAATGCTAGGTCATATGATAATTCTGTGTTTAACTTTTTGAGTAAATGCTCAACTGTTTAGCAGATTTTTCACTTAAAGTCTACTTTGTCTCATATTAATGTAGTCACCCCATTACCTTTTAGCTGTTGTTTACCTGGAATATTTTTTCCCATCCTTTTACCTTTACAGTATAAGTGCCTTTGGACCTAAAGTGGATCTCTTGTATGTTGTTGTTGTTGTTATGTGTGGTCCAGTCAGACCTGACTCATAGCGACCCCTCCTTGGGTTTCCGAGGCAGTATCACTACGGAAGTAGATTGCCCCATCTTCCTTCCGAGGAGTGGCTGATGGGTTTGAACTGCCAGCCTTCTGGTTAGCAGTCAAGTGCCTTAGGCATTAGGCTACCAGAGCTCCTTATATACAATACATAATTGGGTCATGTTATCTATTCATTTTGCCAGTCTCTGCCTTTTGATTATAGAGTTGTCAGGTCAGGTCACTGCCGTCGAGTTGGATCCAATTCATAGCGACCCCTTGTTGGATTTCCAAGGTAGTATCACTATGGAGGTAGACTGTGCAACCTTCCTTCCGAGGAGTGCCTGGTGGGTTTGAACCGCCAGCCTTCTGGTTAGCGGTCAGATGCCTTAGGCACTATGCCACCAGAGCTCCCCCTATAGAGTTTTACCTTTAAAGTGACTTCTGTCATTTTGCTATTTGTTTTGTGCCTTACATCTTTTTGTCCCTCATTTCTTCTAATGCTGTCAACTTTTGTTTTAGTTGATTTTTTGTAGTAAACCATTTTGATTCCCTTGTTTCCTTTTATGTATAATTTTAGAAATTTTAGTGTGGTTACTGTGGGGATTACATTTAACATCTAAAGTATATAAAAACCTAGTTTAAATTGATATTAACTTCAATAACATACGAAAACTCTCTTCCTATACTGCTCTCCTCAACCCCCTGAAGTGTTGTCACAAATTGCATCTTTATACATTGTGTTCCTAATAACATACATTTCTAATTGATTGTTATGCATGTGTCTTTTAAATCACATAGGACATAAGAAGTGGAGTCACAAATAAAAATACTGTAAAACTGGCTTTATATTTACCTGTGAAGTTAATTTGCTGGGAATCTTTTTGTGGCTTTGAGTTACTGTCTAGTATTCCTTTATTTCTTTTGTTTATCTGGGAATGTCTTAATTTTGCCCTCATTTTTGAAGGTCTAGTTAGTGAGATATAGACTTCTTGGTTGAGAGTTACTGTCCTTTTTTTTTTTTTTTTTTTTTTGCTTCCTCTGTTTCTTTTTTCATATATTTTATTGTGGTAAATTACATATAAAAAAACCTCACTGCCATCAAGTCGGATCTGACTCATAGCGACCCCTCCTTGGGTTTCCGAGGTGGTATCACTACAGAAGTAGATTGCCCAGCCTGCCTTCCGAGGAGTGGCTGGTGGGTTTGAACCATCAGCCTTCTGGTTAGCAGTCAAATGCCTTAGGCACTATGCCACCAGACCTCCTAAAATAAATATAATAAAATATTTTTATATTTTTATTGTCACTTGGATGAAAGTTTATAGAGCAAATAATTTTCCTTACAGCAGTTCATATACATTTTGTTTCGTGACATTGACTGGATTTCCCCACAGTGTAACAGTTCTCTTCCCCCTTCCTCCCTTTCGTTACTTCTGTTTTCTTCTTTCCTGTGCATTCCTGCCCCCTGTGCTATCTCCTTGTGCAAACTGGCCTTCTGTTCTCCCATGATTGATTGTTCTAAGGAGTGGATCTACGTGATGTAAATGTTCACCCTATAAGCCTGTCTGTTGTTTGGCTGGAAGCCACAGAAGTAACTAGGAGTCATAGTCTCAGAGGTCTCACTAGGCTCTATCAAACCAGTAAATATGGTCTTTTTTATGATTTTGAGTTTTGTTCCACATTGTTCTCCCACTCTATCCCTGGTCTCCTGGACTGATCCCTTTCCTAGTGGTTGATGGTGGTAGCAGGGCACCATCTAGTTCTTCTGGTCTCAAGGTCATATAGGTTGAGGTTTGCATAGTCCATTAGTCCCTTGGACTAATTGTTTCCATATGTCTTTGGTTTTCTTCATTCTGTTTGCTCTGGATGAGGAGAGACCCATTGTTGCATCTAGATGGCCACTTGCAAGCTTTAAAACTCCAGTCGCTACTCACCAAAGTAAGATATAGAACAATGTTTTTGTATAGTATGTTATAATGATTGAGTTTGATGGTTGACATTTACTTTCTTTGGGCACTTTGAATATGTCATCCCACTGCTTTCTGGCCCCCATGGTTTCTGAGGATAAATCAACGTTTAATCTTACAGAATGTGGAAATTATCGAACAGTATCATTAATATCGCACGCAAGTAAGATCTTACTGAAGATAATTCAAAAACGGTTGCAGTAGATATTGACAGAGAACTTCCAGAGGTGCAAGCTGGACTCAGAAAAGGGTATGTGACAAGAGATATCATAGCTGCTGTCAGATGGATCTTGGCACAAGGCAAAGAATACCAGAAAGATGTTTACTTGTGCTTTATTGACTATGTAAAGGGATTTGATTGTGTGGATCATGACAAATTGTGGATAACATTGAGAAGAATGGGAATTCCTGAACACTTGATTGTACTCATGAGGAACCTGTACCTTGACCAGGAGGCTGTCATTCGAATGGAACAAGGGGACATTGCATGGTTTAAAATCAGGAAGGGAGTGCATCAGGGTTGTATCCTTTTCCCATACTTATTCAATCTGTAATGCGAGCACATAATCCAAGAAGCTGGACTATATGAAGAAAAACATGGCATCAGGGTTGGAGAAAGAATCATTAACAACCTGAGATACGCTGATGATACAACTCTGCTTGCTGAAAGCAAGGATGACTTGAGGCACTTACTGATGAAGATTGAGGAACACAGTCTGCAGTATGGATTACAACTCAATATAAAGAAGACAAAAATCCTCACAACTGGACCAATAAGCAACATCACGATAAATGGAGAAAAGATTGAGGTTGTCAGAGAATTCATATTGCTTGGTTCTACAATCGATGCCAATGGAAGCAGCAGTCAGGACATTAGATGACGTGTAGCACTGGGCAGGTCAGCTGCGAAGGAACTCTTTCAAGTGCTGAGGAGCAAGGACGTCTCCTTGAGGACTAAGGTGCGCCTGACACAAGCCATGTTATTTCCAATCGCCTCATATGCATGTGAGAGCTGGACAATGAATAAGGAAGACCGAAGACGAGTTGATGCTTTTGAGTTGTGGTACTGGTGAAGAATGCTGAAGGTACCATGGACTGCCAAAATAACTAACAGATCTGTCCCGGAGGAAGTACAGCCAAGATGCTTCTTGGAAGAAGAATGGCCAGACTTCATCTCACCTACTTTGGTCATGTTGTCAGAAGGGACCATTCCCTGGAGAAGGATGTCATGCTTGGTAAGGTGGAGGGTTGACAAAAGAGGGGGAGGCCTTCGACGAGATGGATTGACATGGTGGCTGCGATAATGGGCTCAAGTATAGCAAGAATTGTGGAGCTGGCGCGGGATTGGGCGGTGTTTTTGTTTTGCTGTGCATGGGGTAGCTATGAGTCAGAAACAACTTGATGGCACCTAACAATGACAATCTTATTGAGGATCTCTTGTATGTGACAATTTGTTTCTCTTTTGCTGCTTTCAAAATTCTCCATCACCCATGCTTTAATAAACATTTATATATGTCTCATTCGTTTGCACCGGAGTTTATGTAGGGTCAACACCAAGTCATGGAATTACTAGTTATACGAATCTTCAACTTTATTAGATATTGCAAATTATTCTCATAAGTAGTTGTACCAATTTATACACCCACTGTCAGTGGATGATATTCCCTCTTAATTCATAGTTAAAACTGGATTTTAACCTTCACAAATTCATAGGGAGAAAGAAGAGTAAAACAAACTAGTTACTATGATATTTAGCATGTATTAACCCTGAATTTCATTTTGTCTTTATAGATCTTGGAGAAATTCATTCAAGGCTTTTAGATCACAGACCAGTTATTCAAGGTGAAACCCGTTATTTTGTGAAAGAATTTGAAGTGAGTATTTAAAACTTATTTTGTAAAAACTATTTTGCCCTAATTGTTAGAGTGTATATGGAAGTGAAATTCCTGAATTTTGAAATCTAATTTCAATTCCTGAGTTCATGGAAGTACATAAAGTATAACTTACAAAAAGGCATTATCTTTTAATGGAGTCAGTTATAACACTAGGCAGCAAGAGGCTTGGGTTCAGGTTTGGGTACCTGCTATAGAGTATGCAGTGATCAGTGTTTTCCTCTAAAAGTACATACAGTGAAAAAAAAAAAGATTTTAAAGACTGGTAGGTCTGAATTTACAAGAGATATTTTTAATACATTTTTTGTGGTATCAGCATCTACTGTAACACTCAGGTTAAAACTTGAGAGCATCCTTGGCCATTCCCTCCCCATTAGGTTCTAAATTCAGTGATGAAGTTCTAGATTTCACCTCCTAAATCTCCATGCCTTCTGATTGGTATGCCTGTATTATCAGTTCGTCAAATTCGGTCTTCACCCTGCTGCCAGAGTGCTCTAATGTACCATTTCACCTTTTATAACCCTTTAATACCATTTATGGTCTACAGAATAAAGTCCAAGCATTCTCTTATAACCTGGCTCCTACCTTTCTAGTTTTATCATTGACCCTTCCCTACCTTACATCTATGTTCCAGTGATACTGATTCACCAAAATGCTACTCTATTTCATATTACTGTTGTTCACTGTACATGAAACAGTAGCATACCAAGCTACTGCTGTTGGATGGATGGCCAGAGGTGTCATACAAACAACTTCATGATTCTGTGTAAATTGGGATTCTAATTTCAAATGAAACTCTGACCAAGCAGGACAGCTAAACCAGCCCAAAAGAGCTTTTAATAAACTCTTTAAAATTACAGAAAGCCGGTATGGCTACAAAACAGTCAGGCAACCCCATGTGTGTCAGAATAGAACTGTGCTCTGTAGGGTTTTCAATGCCTAATGTCTTGAAAGTAGAACACCAGACCTTTCTTCTGATGTGCCTGTGGGTGGACTTGAACCTCCAAACTTTTAGTTAATGACCATAAGTCAGAATTGGCTCAATGGCAACGGGGTTGTTTTCTTTTTTTTTTTCTTTTCTTTTTTTTTTTAAATACAGCAGGATATTCAAATTAGAGGGACATAGCTGCAGCATTAGATAACTATTTCTGGGCTTAACAGACTTCATTACTCAAAAATCACATAATACTTACCTCACAGGTTGTTGTAAAGATTTAAGAAGTATGTATGTGTGTTTCTTAGGATATTGTCTAGTATCTAGGAATAGCTTAGCTATCATCATTAATGAAGGAGTTCTGGTGGTACAGTGGTTAAAGCATTTGGCTGCTAACCAAAAGGCTGGTGGTTTAAACCCACCAGATGTTGCAGAAGAAAGATGAGTCATTCTGCTTTCATAAAGATTTATGGCCTTGGAAATCTTACCAAGCAGTTTTCTGTCCTGTAGTGTCACTATGAGTTGGAATCAACTCGATGGCAGTGGATTTTTGGGTATCATCATCATCATTATTATTCTGAGATAAGAATAATGTGGAGGACACAAAAAATTATTCATTATCCTTATCCCTTGTTATGCTATATATAGTAAAAGTAAGAGTAAACTGGAAATTTATGTATAAACTTACTATGAGTTCTTTATAGCGTGTTGAATAAATATGTTTTTAAAATTGCATGGAATATTCTATAAAGAATGTGTTTAGTCATTCCCAAGCAAATCATTTGGTCATCTTCATAAAGAAAAACCCAAACACAGTGCTGTGGAGTTGGACCCAACTCACAGCAACCCCTCCTTGGGTTTCTGAGGCAGTGTCACTACGGGAGTAGATTGCCCAACCTTCCTTCTGAGGAGTGGCTGGTGGCTGGGTTTGAACTGCAAGCCTTCTGGTTAGCAGTCAGATGCCTTGGGCACTACGCCACCAGGACCCCTAGGTAAATATCAGCAATGAGAAAAATGTGCTTGATTTTTGTAGTCCAGATTCTGGTGTGCAGAGCAGGCAAAGCCATGTAAAGAGCAACTTTTTCAGAATTTGGCTTTAGTGGTACTTGCTATTGTGCTAATTAGCAGTCACTCCTCCATTTTCTCTATAAAAAGATTCAAATTTTATTGCTTACTTTAATTATGCAACTTATCCTCACATAATTTAAATCAAATGTATTTTTTGAGTCACATAGTTCCTATCACACTATCTAAAGTAATATGTTAAGTAAGAACTAATACTATTTTTTTTTTACATTTCATAAGATCATTTTATTTAAACTGTACTCACATATCTTTGATAGTATCTTTATTGCTAGAATAACTTTTTGAATCACCTGATCTTTTCCAGACCACATTCTCTTAGATTAGTGAGGTATGACACTTTTTGAATTTATGTATAATTGTATTCCTGGAAAACTTTCTCAAGCCAAAAGTATATTTTTGTGTAACACTGGGATAGTTTTTTTCATATGTCCTAAACATGTCTATTTGTGATTTATACAGTATAACATGTTTTTTTGAGAAAGCAGTCTTTAAAAGGTATGTGTACAACAACATTGAACCATGTAGTTGAGAGGTCATACCTCTATAAATAGTTCCTGAATCTCGATTCAATTTCTTAGCTATTCCTCCCCCCCAAATTTCATTTATTTTGTTACTGAGAATATACACAGCAAAACATACACCAGTTAAACAGTTTCTACATGTACAGTTTAGTGACACTGATTATTTTTTTCAAATTGTGCAACCATTCTCACCTTCCTTTCTGATTTGTTCCTCCCTCACTAACATAAATTCATTGCCTCCTAATCTAGTCAAGTTGCTTTTGTCACTTTGATTCCATATAGGTAGTTCTTAAAAGATCATAATACTCAAGGCAGACCTTTTCTTACTAGTTAAACTAAACTATTCTTTTGTTTTAAGATGACTTCAAGGGATGTTTTTGTTTAAGGTTTGAAGATTATCTCAGAGCAATAGTTTCAGAGGTTCTTCCACCCTCCATGGCTCCAGAAAGTCTGGAGACCATGAGGATTTGAAATTCTGTTCTGCATATTCTCCCTTTTGATCAGGATTCTTCTATGGACTCTGATCAAAATGTTTAATGATTTCTCAACAAAATCCTAGCCAATACATTTCAACAAGATGTTAGAAAAATAATATATCATGATGAAGAGGGATTCATACCAGGTATGCAAGGATACTTCAACATTAGAAAAACAATCAGTGTAATTCACCATATAAATAATATAAAAGAAGAGAACCACATGATTGTACTAATTGATACAGAAAAAACATTTGGCAAAATGCAATACCCATTCCTGATAAAAATGCTGAACAAAATAGGACTAGGAGGGAAGTCTCTCAACATAATTAAGGGCATATACACAAAATCCAACATTATTCTCAACGGAGAGAGACTGTAAGTATTCCCTTATGAACAGGTACCAGACAAGGATGCCCTGTATCATCACTCCTATTCAATATTGTATTGGAAGTCCTAGCTAGAGCAATAAGACAAGAAAGAGAAAAGACACTGGAATTGGCAAAGAAGTAAAACTATCTCTATTTGCAGATGGTATGGTCTTATACATAGAAAATCCCAAACACTAAGAAAATTACTAGAACGAATTGAAAGTTTCAGCAGAGTGGCAGGGTACATGATCAACTTATAAAAATCAGCCGGATGCCTTTACACTAAACTCTGAAAAGGAAATCAGGAAAGCAGTACTATTTGCAATAACCACCCAAAAGATGAAGTTCTTAGGAATAAATCTAACTGGAGACACAAAAGAAAACTACAAAACACTATGACAAGAAGCCAAAAGACACCTACATATATGGAAGAATATGCCACGCTCATGGATAAGAAGACTTAACATAGGGAAAATGTCAGTACTACCCAAAACAATCTACAGATATAATACAAACCTGATGCACATTCCATCATCTTTCTTTAAAGAAATGGAAAAACTAATCACTAACTTGATATGGAAAGGAAAGAGACCCTGGATCAAGAAAGCACTACTAAAGAACAAAACAGAAGGCCTTAAACTCCTTGATCTTAAAATCCTGCTTCATAGCCACAGTAGTTAAAACAGCCTGGTACTGTGGTACAACAACAGACACATAGACCAGTGGAACAGAATTGAGAACCCAGAAGTAAATTCATTTACCCGTGGATAGTTGATCTTTAACAAGGATCCAAAACTCATTAAATGAGGTAGAGATAGTCTCTTTTCTTTTTTTTCTAGGACTTCATCATCTGGGGAAGAGATAGTCTAATAAACGATGCTGGCAAAACTGAATATCCATTTGCAGATAAATGAAACAGGATCCGTATCTCACATCATGTATAAAACAAACTCAAATTGGATAAAAAACAAAATCATAAAGACCATTAAAGAAAAAATAGGGACAAAATTAGGGGCCCTAATTCAGGACTTAAATACACTATTGAACATAACTAGAGATGTACAGGCACCAGAAGACAAAATATATGACTGAGACCTCCTAAAAACTAGACACTTGTGTCCATCAAAAGATTTCAACAAAAGAGTGAAAAGAACTTGCAGACTGGGAAAAAAAATTTGGCAGTGACATATTGGGCAAAGGGCTGATCTCTAAAATGTATAGAAAATGTCAACAACTTAACAAAAAGACATATAGTACAATTAAAAAATGAGCAGAGTACATAATCAGACACTTCACCAAAGAAGACATTGAGGCAGCTAACATGAAGAAAAGCTTATGATCATTAACCATAAGAGAGATGCAGATCGAACAATGAGATATCATCTCACCCTAGCACTAATAACTAACTAACTCACTGCTGTTGAGTCAGGTCCAACTCACAGCGACCCTTCCTTGGGTTTCTGAGGCTGTATCACTAGCAAAGTTTGGGGAAAAAAAAAAAAAACCCAACAAATGCTTGTAAGAGTTTGGAGACACTGGAACCCTTGTACACTGCTATTGGGACTACAAAAAAGGTACAACCACTGTGGAAAAT